GGGAGGAGGAGGAGGATGATAGTATGTCGGAGTTGGAGGAGGCGGAGAGGCTCGCAGGCATTCTAAGCTCCTTTGGCAGGTGATCACCATACAAGTCGGCCAATGCGGCAACCAGGAGGGGCGTGGGATGTGGAGGGACGGGGCGCACGTACCCAGCTTTGCTTCCTTCTGCCTGACGAATTCCCCATTTGGTGCGCTCACCTCCCTTCCGCCACTCTCCCTTTTCCCCTCCTCTCCAGTCCATGCCTGTCCCCTTTCCTTGTCCTGTGTCTCTGCTTCCTCTGCTGTCTCTGTCTCTATCTCGCTCCCTCCCCTTCCCTCCCCCTATCGCTCTCTCTCTCACTCGCTATCTCTCGCTCTCGCTCTCACTCTCTCTCTCTCTCTCTCTCTCTCTCTTTCTCGCTGCGCACCGTTGGACGCACTGTAAGGTCGAAGCCTCGGAGCTCGCCGATCGTCTCTCTCTCTCTCTTTCTTGTTCTCGCCCTCGCCTCCGTGTCTTCACCCTCTCCGCCGTTTCCTCCTCCTGTGTACCGAGCGGCAAGATACAACATGGGGTGTGCATTATGGGCAAGATAATGCAGTAGTGCACGATGTGGTGTGCAATGTGAACAGCACGATGTGAGAGCACCCGCAAGTGCACTTGATCAGATTTGACCGCTGTTGGTGTCTCTCTGTCTCTGTCTTCCTCTCGTTCGCTTGTCCCTTGTCTCACCGTCGTCAATTGTCATGCAGGGCGGCGCCCCGGCGCCCACCTGCAGCGCCCCCGCGGCGCCTCGACTGCAGGCAGATGTCCGATGTCCGATGTCCGATTTCCGATATTCCTGGGGAATTGGGCACACTCCGTAAACGTATCACAAGCAACGCCCGGTGGTGCAGGGGCACAGGACGCCCTCTTGGAGCACACACATTGAGGCTGTCGTGGTACGTCGGAGCCGGGCCGGAACCGCCTTGTCCGGGCACCCTCGCCAGCCGCCCCGCCTTTCGCCCTGGGGCGTGCGCGGCAGGGTAGGTAGGCGGGTGCTTCCACTTCGATCACATCCCGAGGTACAGCGTCGTCCATGCGTCAGACACCGTGGAGGGAAACCTCGTCGGACGTGAGTCAACAAAAAGTCATGTGAGACGTGTGGGGTCGTAACACGCCGCAGCGGCACGCCAGTGCCCAACTTAATGGCACCAGTCCCAGAACTGCGCGCTTTGGTTCCCGTTTGTTATGCCGCGCTGGGGCCAGATGCAAGCCCACGGAGAAAATTAATCACAGCGCGCAGGTCGGGCCGACATTTGGCCGCAGCTAGATGGCCGGAGCTCGGGAGACAAATCCTGCCCCCCTCAACCAAAATACATCAACATTTCACGGAGACGGAGCTTACGCGCAACAGCGCTAGCACCAACGCTGGCGTCCTCGCTGGCTTCGACGCCAGCATCGACATCAGCACAATCGCCGGCGCCTGCGCCAGGGCTGACGCCAACACCAACGCCAGCATGAACGCCTGCGATTGCGCCGGCACTGACGCCAGCGCCTACACCAGCGCCGACGCCAGCACTGACGCCAGCGCGACAGCCGGCGCCTGCGCCCAGCACCAACGCCAGTGCCCACACCAGCACTGATGTCAGCACCGACGCCGCCACCAACCTCGACGCCTGCACCAGCACCGACGCCAGCACCGACCGGTACGACGGCGACAAGCAGCCTGACGCCCAGCAGCACTGGTGAGCAGTAGCACGACGACCAGCAGCACACCTGCAGCACACTGGGGAACAGCAGCAGGACCCTGGCATCCAGGTTGATCATGCAGCGTGGTCCGCAGCACGGTGGTGAGCAGTACGACCCACCAGCGGCATTTTGGCTAGCAGCACTAAGTGGAGCAGCAACGCGACTCTGACATCCATGAGTTCGACGTGTAGTGGTACGAGGCGGGGCCCGGGATGTTGTTCTGAGGCGGGTGTCGCATTGTTGGCGCAGGCAGGATTGTCCGGCGGAGGGGGCAGGATTTGCCCGTCCACCGCCTCCCCCCGGGGGCCCCACACCCGCGGGGGCGGGGGACCGCTTCTCTCCCCCCCTCTCCGTTTCCTCCCCTCCCCTTCGTTCCCTTCTCCCCTTTTCGTTGTCGCCTGGCTCGTCGTCGTCGTCGTCGTCGTCGTCGTCGTCGTCGTCGTCGTCGTCGTCGTGGTCGGGGTCGGGATGCGGTCCCCTGCCTTCCTTGGGCTCGTGGCCCCCCTTGGGGGGGTGGCGTCCTTGTTAGCGGCCTCAGGTTTCGTACAGGGCAGCTTGTTGGTGTTGCCAGAGAGTTCATTGTTACGGCTCGCTGAGGAATGGTCGTTTTGCAGTGTTCAGTTCCCCGCCCCTCGCCTTCCGCTTCCCTCCCGTTTCGATCACAGCGTTGCATTACATGTATACGTTAGTTTTTATATGCGCGCGCTGTCCCCCGATCTCGGGGGCGGCGTTCACCGCCCTGGGGGCGTCAGGGACGGTTCGCTCTCGGAGCCTCCCGTGCCCTGCACCCCCCTCGCGCGGCCTCAACAACTTCTATGTTCTTGCCGATCGCTCTTGTCCTCCTGCTTCCCTCTCTGCTGGGCTCTTTCCCTCCTCCTGCGCCCTTGCGTCGCATCGGCAACCGTGGCACTAGGTGTCCACTCTTTTTGCGAAGCAGCTTGGCCAGACCAGCCAGGCTACTGCGGGGCCTTTCTCAGCTTGCGGCCCCCATTCGCACTAGACTCGCGAGGGACACCTGTGCGGGCACCGGCTCTGGCACTGCCCAGAGCGCCGGGTCTTCGCACGCGCGAGGTTCTCCGACGGGCCTTCGCTGCCTTGTCGCTCGATGTTGGCTCCCCCCTTTCTCCCCTCCTCGGCCTCCCCCCGCCTCGGTCTCTCGGCCGACGGTCTCTTGTCCCTGGCAATCCTCCTGGACGTGTTCTCTCACGGGTATCACACCCTCGAAGCCAAACGTGCGAGTGGGGGAGGATTCATCCTGAGATATGCCCGGGCACGGATTCGACGCGCATCGGCGTGGGATGCTCGAATCCAGGCGGTTCTCAGAAGGTAGTTTCACATCTAGGCGGGCGTGCGCCTTCGTCCATCAGTGCGGAATCCTTCGTGCCTTGCCGTACGGGTATAGCCCCCTTGAGGGGAAGCGGATTCGCCCGTGGACGGGCTCTCTTTGGGGGTAGAAAAACTAGCTGTGTACAACAAGTTTTGCGAGTGGGAGCCCCTTTCTCCCCTCACAGTAGCTAAGGTCCCGTCGAGTGCCTCTCACACAGCCACGATGCCCGGCACAAAAACAAATTCATGCTTTGACGTAGGCTTCGTGAGTTCATATAGTCACAGAAGAAGAAGAACTGTGCATCGCGTAGGGGGGCGATAGAGGAGGGGGAGGAAGGGGACGCCATACGATGCATACGGCAGAGTAGCATATCGAACGGGACTGCGTCTGCATCCGTGCCGCCGTCTCTGGGCTCTGGCGCGGAGCCTCGTGCATCACCCGGATGCGCTTCTGCACGTTGACCTCTCTCTCTCTCACTCTTTCCGTCTCTCTCTCTCTCACTCTCTCTTCGTGTCTCTCTCTCTCTCTCTTTCCCTTTCTCTGTTTTTTCACATTTTTTTCCCCCCTCTTTCTCTTAGTCTATCTCTCCCTCTCTCTCTCTCTTTCGATTGTTTCTGCTTCAACGTTGGGAGCATTCATCATACAAATTATCAGTCTGGTTTCCCTCTCACGAGCTGGGCACTGCAGTTCCGTCGGACAATGCGGGCTGATGGGCCATGTGACGCTCGCAGCCCCTAGCTTGGGTCGTCCGCACTGGATCTTGATACATTTCCACAGCGCTACGTTTTTTCCCCGACCTTGCGGAGGGGGCCCTTTTGTGTATCCCCCTGAGGGGGTCTGGGGTGGTACCCCTCGAAATCTGGCCCCCGACACGGGCGGGAGAGTTGCAGAAGACGGCGGAAGGCGGCCACAACTTGCAGTTTCGGCCTCGGGCGCGCCAAGATGGCCCCAATACGGCCCAAGATGTCCACCAAACGGCCCAAGGGGCCTCACAGACTCTATAAGAGGGCGCCAAGAAGGCCGCCAAGACGCCAAGCTCATTGATGGTCCTTCTGTGTTTCAGTGATTTTGGCGTTCTTGCCTGTTCGGGCTTCCGACGCTCCAAGACGGGCCTACCCAGGGTCGCCCCAAGACGGACCAAGAGGCCGCCAAGAGTCCCGCAAGACGGCCCAAGAGGGCCCCAAGACAGCCCAGGAGGCCCCCAAGGCGGCCTCAAGGCAGCCCCAGAGACCTCCAAGGCGGCCCTCAACCGTTCAAAGAAGAACCCTTGACTGCCCAAGGAGGGCCCGAGACGGCCTCCGAAAGCCAATGGGCGCCCAACAGAGCCCCAAGAGGTCCCAGGAGGACATCCAGGATGCCCAATTCATTAATTGACCGTAGGTTGTTCAATGATTTTAGCGTTCTCGCCTTTTCGGGATCTCGAGAGGCCCCCAAGCCCAAAAAGGCCCCACGACTCGATGTTTCGGGCTTCCGGCGCTCCAAGACGGGCCCATCTACCCCCAAGATCGCCCCAAGATTGCCCGAGAGGCCGCCGAGAGGCCCGCAACACGGCCCAAGAGAGCTCCAAGGCAGCCCAAGAGGCCCCCGAAACGGCCCCAAGACGGCCCCAGAGAATTCCAAGACGGCTTTGAGACGATCCCCAAGACGGCATCCAAAGGCGAGGAGGGCCCATAGAGGCCCCCAGGAGGCCTCCGAGAGGCCCCAGGAGAACCCCAAGGGGCCCAGGAGGCCCCCAAGAGGCCCCTCCGAGCTCCTCGGAGAGGATCCCAGCAGCCCCCCAGGAGGCTTCAAGAGGCCTTCAAGAAGCCTCCTCCTCCTCGTCCTTCTCCTCCTGCTGTGTTTTTTTGGTGCACTGCACTATATAAGAGGCCGTTTTGGCCGCAGGGGATAGCCGCACAGCGCCCGTGCCCCTTCTCCTCCCCCTCCCTTAACCGTTAAGTGCCTCTCGGTGCGACCCGGGGTGAGCAAAACCGTTCGAGCCCGCTTTATGGGCCGTAGCTCCTGTTGCCTGCACCGATGTAGGGCTTCAGGCGGCAGGGAGGAGTGTTTTTTTTCAGACTAGGCGAAATACCGTGTCTGTGGCACCTCCGCCTTGTTGGATCACCTCCAGTAAATGATTTTTGATGTGTCGCTGGGGAAAAATCATCCTCCTTCTCCTTCCCCTCCCCCTCCTCTCCTCTTCCTCCGTAACCATTTTGGCTCAACATGTTTTTTCTCCCGTGGCAGAGCACGGATACTGTTAGTCCGCGGCCATCAATCGATCTTTTCAGTGAGCTCCTGCTGGAGCATACTCTTTCACAGCACGCTTAGGGCTTCAATCCCCTAGCAGGTCTCGAGACGACGGCATGGCCCCAGCGCCGTGGACACATCAGGATTAGATGTGTAAGATTTGTGTGCGCAAGAAGTCAGGCCTACCCCTTCTAATTTGGAGCACTAGCGATCGGTGCTACAAGTGTCAGGTTCACACATCGGCCAGTTTCAAGTCTGTGCGCCCAGCATCAGCCCCATCCACAAACAGCAGCCACCGCAGCACTAAATACCCGACTCAGTCCTTCACTACCGTCGCCAAGCCTGAGCGTCGCCTTATTGAGCTCGAGATAGATAATGCTTCCCTCAAAGGGGGGGGGGGGCTCACGGCGCTGGGATGGAGGTTGAGGGGTCTGCAGGAAATGAGCCTGAACTTCGGGAGGAGACTGACGCATAGGCCAAACATGTGCAGTGGTTGGAGACTGTCAGAGGTGATTGAGCGAGGCCGCAGCTTTGACGGCTCAAACTCAATTGGAGGCAGCTCGCAACAAGTTACATGAGGACGAGCCCCTTCGAGCGAAGCCTAACGTACTTTCGCGCCGAATGGAGCTTGCCCGCAAGAGAAGGCCTTCGCCGACAGAGCTGCCGCGCAAGCGGCGGTGGAGGCAGCCAATCGAGCACTCGTGCAGGCGGGGGCAGTCATCGAAGAGAAGAAACAAAACTGGAGGACCTATCTCAGCGTCGGCGCCAGTCAGCGGAGTTCGTCGTCAATGAAGCTAAGCTGGCGAAGGTTCTCGCTGACGTGGACGGAGTCGGTGACGCCAAGAAGGCGGCCCCCCTGTTGGTGGCCGCCTTGCGAGGGCGAGGAGGTGGCATCCTTGCCGAACCGCCGAAGAAGTGCAGGCGACAGGACCCACATCGATGGGGGTCTGACAAAGTTGAGCTCTCAACTCTTCGTGAACAAGTCAAGGAATACGTGGAAAGGGGGCGGCTGAGGAGGCCGCCGCGCGGGCTCGCGCTCGCTCGCTGGCTGCTGGCGGCTTTTCTTTTGCGTGGCAGATCAGGGGGGCGCCTGCCGCGACAGTTCAAAGTTACTTATGGAGGATTGGAGTTCCCTGATTATTCTGAGCTGAAGCTTTCCAAGTGCATGGGGAGCGAAAGCGATACTGCGGTGCCTGGCAGTTTTTTGAGTCAACCCTCGGACATTCTCTTGCACAGTGTGTCTAGAGCTCCGACCACTTTATTTCGGCGTCGTCGTCGCTCCCCCCAGCTGCCTTGTGCCCTTCATGTGTCGCTATATGTGTCGCTGTGTGCCTTGTGCCCTTCATGTGCCGCTATATGTGCCGCTGTGTGTCGCTATGCGTCTCCATGTGTGCGTCGCTATGTGTCGCTGTGTGTCGCTTTGCGTCGATATGTGTGTGTGTGTGTGTGTCGATATATGTCTCTATATGTCGATATGTGTCGACATGCGTCGCTATGTGTCGCTCCCTAGCACCCCGGCGCACCGCCCCCTCCGCCCCGACGACTTTATTTCGGCGTCGTCGTCGCCCCCCCCCCCCCCCCCCCTCTCCCTCTCCTCAGCAGCCCAGCGCGCTGCCCCCTCCGCCCCGACCACTTTATTTCGGCGTTGTGTCGACATGTGTCGCTACGCGTCGCTCCCCAGCACCCCAGCGCGCCGCCCCCTCCGCCCCGACGACTTTATTTCGGCGTCGTCGTCGCCCCCCCCCCCCCTCTCCCTCTCCTCAGCAGCCCAGCGCGCTGCCCCCTCCGCCCCGACACATTTATTTCGGCGTCGCGTCGCCCCCCCCGGTCCTTTTCCCCAGCAGCCCAGCGCGCCGCCCTCTCCGCCCCGACCACTTTATTTCGGCGTCGTCGCCCTATTTCGGCGTTGTGTCGACATGTGTCGCTTTCCCCAGCAGCCCAGCGCACCGCCCTCTCCGCCCCGACCACTTTATTTCGGCGTCGTCGTCGCCTTATTTCGGCGTTGTGTCGACATGCGTCGCTATGTGTCGCTCCCCAGCACCCCAGCGCACCGCCCCCTCCGCCCCGACGACTTTATTTCGGCGTCGTCGTCGCCCCCCCCCTCTCTCCCTCTCCTCAGCAGCCCAGCGCGCTGCCCCTCCGCCCCGACCACTTTATTTCGGCGTCGTCGTCGCCCCCCCCTTGTCCTTTTCCCCAGCAGCCCAGCGCGCCGCCCTCTCCGCCCCGACCACTTTATTTCGGCGTCGTCGTCGCCCCCCCCCCATCCCCCTCTCCCCAGCAGCCCAGCGCGCCGCCCCCTTCGCCCCGACCATTTTATTCTCTTGCACAGCTGTGCTCTAGAGCTCGGACCTCTTTATTTTCGTTCGTTCGTCGTCGTCCCCGGCCCCTGGTCCGGTCCCGACCCTGGACCCAACCTCCCCACCCCGTCCTGGCCTCAGCCCCCCTCGCCCCGCTGGCCCTGGCCCTGGACCCAGCCTCCCCCCCACCCGGCCCTGGCCCCAGTCCCCCTCGCCCTGGACCCTTTATTTTCGCTCGTCGTCGTCCCTGGTCCGGTCCTGGCCCTGGACCCAACCTCCCCCTGGTCCTGGCCCCAGCTCCCCTCGCCCCGCTGGCCCAGGGCCTGGACCCAGCCTCCCCCCCGCCGGCCCTGTCCCCAGTCCCCCTCGCCCTGGACCCTTTATTTTCGTTTGTCGTTGTCCCTCTGGTCCCGGCCCTGGACCCAACCTCCCCACCTGGCCCTGGCCCCAGCCCCCGTCGCCCCGCTGACCCTGGCCCTGGACCCAGCCTCCCCCCCGGCCCTGGCCCCAGCCCACCTCGCCCTGGCAACCCTTTATTTTCGCTCGTCGTCGTCCCTGGCAGCTGGTCCGGTCCTGGCCCTGGACCCAACTCCCCCCCTTGCTGGACCCTTTGTTTTCGTTCGTCGTCCCTGGTCCGACTCTGGCCCTGGACCCAACCTCCCCACCTGGTCCTGGCCCCGTGGAGCCCCCCTCGCCCCGCTGGGTCCCTGGTCCGGTCCTGACCCTGGACCCAACCTCCCCCCCTGGTCCTGGCCCCAGCTCCCCTTGCCCCGCTGGCCCAGGGCCTGGACCCAGCCTCCCCCCCGCCGGCCCTGTCCCCAGTTCCCCTCGCCCTGGACCCTTTATTTTCGTTTGTCGTCGTCCCTCTGGTCCTGGCCCTGGACCCTGCCTCCTCCCCTGGCCCTGGCCCCCCGCCCCCCTTGCCCCGCTGGCCCTGGCCCTGGACCCAGCCCCCCCCCCGGCCCTGGCCCCAGTCCCCCTCGCCCTGGACCATTTGTTATCTTGCGCAGCTGTGTTCTAGAGCTCGGACTTCTTTATTTTCGCTCGTCGTCGTCGTTCGTTCGTCGTTCGTCCTCCCCCCTGCGGCCGCAAAAATAAACTCCTGGAGGAAGGAGGCGAAAGCCTCCTGTCTCTCGCGGCTCCTTAGTGCAAGAGCCAGGGCACGCGTGCCACTTGTTAATGGGGGGGGCAAGTCCAAGTTTGAGTTGATCGACCAGCTCAAGTGGGCCGCGGGTTCGCTTCCTGTTGGTACGGTGCCAGTTTCTACCACTCTGTCTCTGATGTCCTGCAACGCCACTGCCTGGAGCACGACGCAGGGTTTCCTGGAGTGGGTTGTCTTGGACCAGCGGGATCTGCCCGATATGGTCTCTGGCCGTGAGCGCAGGCTGCGCGGCGGCGACCGGCTTTGTTCAGCTTAGAGCTCGGCCCGCGACAGCGGCGACAAGTTTCTGGATTGCGGATGTGCGGTGGCGGGCGAGAAGAGTACCGAGACGTCCAGTGGTGTGGGTATCTTAACAGCGTCCAACGTTGCTTGCGTAGAGTTCAAGCCCGAGATCGAGTGCGACACGACCGGGCTCTTCTTCCAGCGCGCGATGCTAGGAGGCATGCAGGTCATGCTCGTCTCGATCTACGCCATGTGCAGTGTAGGAGTTGCTGGCGACGCGGAACTGCTAGCTCCGCTGCCCGAGATTCTTCGGGCGGCGTGCCCCCCCTTCGTTATTGCGGGAGATTTGAATTTTGAGGCCGAGCGTTTCGGCCGAGGCTCGTCTCTCAGAGCAGGTTTCCTGCATTTTTTGCGCGAGTATGTCGTGCGCAGCGGCGAGCCGGCGTATATCGATGTTTATTTGGTGCTCAGCGAGGTTTCGTTTCCGTTTGTCAGGTCGGTTCCGGTCCTGGAAGTCATTCTTGTTGGGCCCCGCAGGGCCGTCGAACTTGCCCTTGGAGGGCTCGGGGGCTCGCGTTTAATTCGCAGGCGGGTCGAACCTCCAGTCGGGGCGGGCCTTCGTGCAACCGGATTGGCCGGGCTTCGCTTTGAAAGAAGGGGGGTCGGTTGACAGTTTGGCGCGCCGCCAGTTCCATTCATCAGAGTCTCAATTGTGCATGTTCTTTGCCATTCCAGAGCTTCGCAGGCAGAGATTCCGTGGTCGCGGACTCGGTTGTCGCAAAGAATTATCCCGGCAAAGCAACCCAACAGCGATGTGTAGGGGCATATCTGGAAGCATTCCCCTTAAGATTCACATGAGAATCCAGTTGTAGAATTCTGCTGTTCTCGCAGTCGCAGTCGCATTCGCGATGAAAGTCGCAGTCGCAACGGCAGTCGCAGTCACAGCCTCAGCCTCAGCCTGCCTCAGCCTCAGCCTCAGCCTGCCTCAGCCTCAGCCTCAGCCTGCTTCAGCCTCAGCCTCAGTCTGCCTTCAGCCTCGGCCTCAGCCTCAGCCTGCCTCAGCCTCAGCCTGCATCAGCCTCAGCCTCAGCCTCAGCCTGCCTCAGCATCAGCCTGCCTCAGCCTCAGCCTCAGCCTGCCTCAGCCTCAGCCTCAGCTGCTTCAGCCTCAGCCTCAGTCTGCCTTCAGCCTCGGCCTCAGCCTCAGCCTCAGCCTCAGCCTCAGCCTCAGCCTCAGCCTCAGCCTCAGCCTCAGCCTCAGCCTCCTGCCTCAGCCTCAGCCTCAGCCTGCTTCAGCCTCAGCCTCAGTCTGCCTTCAGCCTCGGCCTCAGCCTCAGCCTGCCATCAGCCTCAGCCTCAGCCTCAGCCTCAGCCTGCCTCAGCCTCAGCCTGCCTCAGCCTCAGCCTCAGCCAGCCTCAGCCTCAGCCTCAGCCTGCTTCAGCCTCAGCCTCAGTCTGCCTTCAGCCTCGGCCTCAGCCTCAGCCTGCCTAAGCCTCAGCCTGCATCAGCCTGCCTCAGCCTCAGCCTGCCTCAGCATCAGCCTGCCTCAGCCTCAGCCTCAGCCTGCCTCAGCCTCAGCCTCGGCCTGCTTCAGCCTCGGCCTCAGTCTGCCTTCAGCCTCGGCCTCAGCCTCAGCCTGCCTCAGCCTCAGCCTGCATCAGCCTGAGCCTCAGCCCCAGCCTGCCTCAGCATCAGCCTGCTTCAGCCTCAGCCTCAGCCTCAGCCTGCTTCAGCCTGAGCCTCAGTTTGCCTTCAGCCTCGGCCTCAGCCTTCAGCCTCGGCCTCGGCCTCAGCCTGCCTCAGCCTCAGCCTCAGCCTGCCTCAGCATTCAAAATGTGGCCCGGGAATGGAGTTCTGGGAACTAGAAGAACACGCAGTGGCCTGCAGTTGGCTCCGGGCATTCAAAATCATGCCCAGGAATGGAATCCGGGAGCTCGAAGACCACGAAGTAGCGTACAGTTGGCTCCGGGGATTCAAAATGTAGCCCGGGAATGGAATTCTGGGAAGTCGAAGAGCACGAAGTGGCCTACAGTTGGCTCCGAGCATTCAAAATGTGGCCCAGGAATGGAGTTCTGGAACCCGAAGACCACGAAGTAGCCTACAGTTGGCTCCGGGCATCCAGAGTGTGGCCCGGGAATGGAGATCTGGGAAGTCGAAGAGCACGAAGTGGCTTACAGTTGGCTCCGGGCATTCAAAATGTGTCCCGGGAATGGAGTTCTGGGAACTCGAAGAGCACGAAGTGGCTTACAGTTGGTTCCGAGCATTCAAATTGTAGCCCGGGAATGGAGTTCTGGGAAGTCGAAGAGCACGAAGTGGCCTACAGTTGGTTCCGGGCATTCAAAATGTGACCCGGGAGTGGAGTTCTGGGAGGTCGAAGAGCACGAAGTGTGTGACTGTTTGCTTAAAACGAGCCCGGCCCTGAGCCCGGCCTTCGCTGTCCGGAGGCCGCCCAGACCTCCCTTCTGAGTCATCAGATGCTTTCTTTTGACACCATTAGAAACCTATCAGTCTTCGCTGTTAGGTAAAAAGCGCCCCTAACGCGCGAATGGGGGGCGAGCCTGCGTGGGGGGGCCAGCCCTCTGACTCAGAAGTGGTCGCGCAGTGTTGATTTCTGATTCTTCGAAGGTTCTTCATTTTTTTGCGGGGCCAGGATCCTTTCACTCCTAAGTCTTCGACCCTGGGCTTCTTCCTGGCCATTGGGGGGCCGGGGGCAATTAGGGGCGAGCAGAACTAGGAATGGGCGCGATTGGAAATGAACGACGTGTAAGCATCTGGCGCCTCGCCATGCAATGGCTCCGCGCGTCGGACTCCGCCGGCTCTGCCCGGCAGGACTTGAGGGCCGGCGCCGAGCGTCGGTTCAGGGAGTTGGTGGTGCTTGGGGCGTCGGCGATGGGGGCGGCGCGGATTCGGTCGTCTCCGCGGCAAGCGATTGCGAGCAGTTTCCGCGGCAGCTCTCCGGGGAAGCATTCAAATTTGCTGCCTGCAAGTTTGTCCGAAATAAGGTGCTGCCGCGCGCGGCTGCCGACGCGGCTGCCGCCGGGGCCAGTTGGGCAGATTTTTTCGGGGCTCGCCTTTCAGGGCGGCGCTGGTTTGGCCCGCCGTTCTTTCAGGGGGCCCTGGGGCGTGGAACTTGGGGGCCAGGGTTCTACCGGCCCCCGGGTCGTGGGTTATGACGCCCTCCAGATGATGCTAGATGAACAGGTGAGCTTGTGAACTTCACCCGTTCGCCCGGGACGTCGAAGAACCCCCGCAGCTTCCAATGATCGAGGCTATGCGGGTGGGATCGGCGCTGCGAATGTTCAAGGCCAAGACGGCCTTCAGGTGGGGCGGATCCCATCTGCGCCAGATCGATCGCTTCCAAGTGGCCTTGCTCGAGGCACCCGCTGCTTGTTGCAGCGCTGGGGGGAAAACTCAGAGGGCGCTGACGTGACGTTGGCCCTCGTTGTGTCTCTCGCGGAGACCCAAGGTGGAGGTCGCCCCGTGGGTCTCGCACCCCTGCTCGTTGGGATTTGGTTTCGGTTGAGGCGCGAGGAGGCAGCCCGCTGGGAGGCCATCCTCGGGTGCAATTTGTCCGGCAGTCGTCCGGGTTCGCGTTTCCCATGGTAAAGAATTACGGGAAACGCAGGCCCGGACGACTTCCCCAAGGACACATTGCACGGGAAACGCGTTTTTACAGTATTCGAAGTTCGAATTATGGGGAGCGCAATTTCCATTGACAAGCCGCACTCAATGGGCCGGCTATGCGCTTCCCATAATTTGAATTCCGACTTTTGGGGCGCGCGGCTTCCCGTGCGTCGAATTCCGACCTATGGGAAACGCAACTTCTTTGTACAAGCCGCGCCCGATAGGCTGGTTTTGCGTTTCCCATAATTCCGAATTATGGGAAGCGCAACTTCCCTTGACAACCGCGATCGATGGGCTGGCTTTGCGTTTCCCATGATTCGGAATTCGAATTATGGGAAACCGCGTGTTCCGACAGTCGGAATTCGAATTATGGGAAACGCAAAGCCAGCCCGTTGAGTGCAGTCTTGTGAAAGGAAATTGCGTTTCCCATAAATCTGAATTATGTAAACGCAAAGACAGCCCGTCGCACGCGCTTCTTCAAATGAAATTGCGTTTCCCATAATCCGGAATTCGAATTTTGGAAAACCGCGTTTCCCGAAATCCAGAATTCAATGTGTGGGAAACGCGCAGCCGGCTCTTTGAGTGCGGTTTTTCAGGGAAAGTGTGTGTGTGTGTGTGTGTGTGTGTGTGTGTGTGTGTGTGTGTGTGTGTGTGTGTGTGTGTGTGCGTGTGTGTGTTCCCACGAATCGGAATTATGGGGCGCGCAACGCCAGCCCATCGAGCGCGTTTTTGCAAAGGGCATTGCGTTTCCTACAGGTCGGAATTATGGGAAACGCAAAGCCAGCCCAGCGAGTGCGGTTTTTCAGGGGAAACTGCGTTCCCCATAATTCGGAATTCGAATTATGGGTAATCGCAGTTCCCGTTTCGAATTAAGTGCTGACTAAGTGTGCAAATTATGGGTAATCGCGGGAACGCAGAACCAGCTCATCAATGACGGTTTTTCAAAGGAAGTTGCGTTTCCCATCATTCGGAATTATGGGACACGCAGAACGTCAGCCCATCGACTGCGGTGTTTCCCATAATTCGAAATTCGAATTCTAGGGTACCGCTTCACATCTTTGTCTCTCTTTCTTTCTTTCATTATTTCTCTCTCTCTATCTCTCTGCTTCTTATTATTTCTCTTTCCATTTCTTTTCCCAGGGAAATTGCGTTTCACTTAATTCGGAATTATGGGGGGCGCAAAGCCAGCCCATTGTTTCTCATATCTCGGATTTCGAATTATGGGAAACGAAAGGCAAGCCCACCGAGTGCGGTTTTTCCAAGGAAGCTGCGTTCCCCCATAATTCGGAGCTATGGGAAACGCAAAGCCCGCCCATTGAGTGTTGCTTTTCTATGGAAATTGTGTTTCCCATAATCCGGAATTCGAATGTTGGGAAACAACGCTTCCAGACAGCCAGAATTCGATTTGCGTGTGCGGGGGGCGCAGAGCCAGCCCGCCGAGTGCGGTTTTTCTAAGGAGGTTGCGTGCCCATGTTTCGGAAGCGTGGAAAACGCAGCGCCATCCAGGCGAGGGCGGTTTTTCAATGGAAATTGCGTTTCCCATAATTCGGACTTGTGGGAAACGCAGAGCCAGCACATCGAGTGCGGTTTTTCAAAGGCAATTGCGCTTCCCAGTGATCGGAATTCGAATTATGGGGAACAGCGTTCCCCGACATTCCAAATTCGAATTATGGGAAGTATTGTTGTTCAAGGACTGCGGTTCCCATGGTCTGGAATTCGGAGGAATGCAACGCGGGCCCGTTGAGTGCGGTCGTTCAAGGGAAATTGCGTTTCCCATAATTCGGAATTCGATGCGTGGGAAGCCGCGTTTCCTGCAATTCGGAATTTCGGGAGACGCGAAGCCAGCCCATTAAGTGTTGATTTTCATGGGTGATTGCTGTCAATCGGATTTTCGGGATGCGCAAAGCCAGCGCATTGACTGATGTTTTTTCAAGGGAAGTTGCGTTTCCCCAAATGCGGAAGTCGAACCATGAGAAACAGCGTTTCCCGAACTTTGCAATTTGAGTTATGGGAAACGAAGCGCCAGCCCATTGAGTTTGTGTTTTCAAGGGAAATTGCGTTTCGCATAATTCGGAGTTGTGCGAAACTATGGGAAACGCAACGCCAGCCCATTCAGTGCGGTTCTTCCAGGGAAGTGGTGTTTCCCATAATTCGGAATTCTGGGAAGCGCAACGCCAGCCCAGTGAGTGCGGTTGTTCAAGGGACGTTGCGTTTCCCATATTTCGGAATTTGAATTATGGGAAATAGCGTTTCCCGATATTCGGATTAACATTTATGGGAAACGCGAATCCAGCCCATGGATTCCGGGATTTCAAAGGAAGTTGCGTTTCCCACACTTCGGAAAAGTGGGAAATGCAGCGCCAGCTCATCGGGTGCGGTTTTTCAGGGGCAATTGCGTTTCCCAGTATTCGGAATTCGAATTATGGGAAGCAGCGTTTCCCGACATTCGAAATTCGAGTTATGGGATTCTAACGTTGGCCCTGGCGACTCTCGGCGCCACGGTTGGGTTCGTACTCCGAACTCTTGAGGAACTTGGCCGCCTTCGCAGGGGGGCCAGGGCCTGCCCCACATACATCGGGTTCAGTTCTGGATCGATTTGCAGCCTCCCGAGAGACATGTTGGAACGGGCCGGAACCGTTTCGGCTCGAGCGCTTTGGAGAAAATAATCATCCATGGTAGCGTGAGCGGATGCGCCCCCGGCGTCGCGGGCGGCAGTCCGCGATTGCGCCGCAGCGGGCCGGGCCCGCGGAGGGCGCCCAGGCGCGGGCGCGGGCGCTGGAGGCAGCCGGCCTCGAGTTGCTGGACGAGGGAGGAGGTGAACCAGTTCGAGGTGCTGCGCGAGAGGGGCCCGGTTCTGACGTGGGTCTCGCTGGCGGCGCGGCTAGTTAGGCTGGCCTTCAAGAGGCGCTGCTGGGCTCACCTCGGACAGCTTCTGAACGTGATCAAGAGACAAGGTCAAGATGGCAGCGACGTTCCAGGACGTCCAGGCGCTTCGTCAGGCACTAGAGCAAGTACAAGGAGAGCTACGACAAGCACGGGCGGAAGCAGACGCCGCGGGTAGAGCGGCGCAGGCGGCTGCGCAGCAGGCGCAGCAGGCGGCTGGGCAGCAGGGTGCGGCCGCGGCGGCGGCGCAGGCGCCAGACCCTGGGCCCGAGAGGATGGCCGCGGAGATGAAGATGATCGGCAAGCCCGAGATGTTCGACGGGGCCAAGCCGCCGTGGCGAGACTGGTCGGTGGTGTTCGAGGCGCTCGCGGGCGCGACGAACCCGAACATGGCGGCGGCGATGGCCAGAACGAAGCGGGAGACAGAGCCAGTGCTGGTGGCGAACCTCGAGCCCGGCGACGCGCAGCTGTCAAGGACGTTGGGGTGCTGGCTCATCCAGACGTGCAGGGGCCAGGAGCTCGATGTCGTGCTGAACGCGGGCAAGCTCGAGGGGTTTGAAGCATGGCGGCAACTGCACCTTCGATTTGAACCCAGGCGGCGAGCAGATACGCAGGGCAGCTGATGACGCTGCTGGGCTGGGACTTCAGCGGTGAGATGATGATGCGCCTGGAAGCCTTCGAGAGGGAGATCAGTCTGTACGAGTCGGCGTCGGAGGAGACGCTCTCGGACGCGATCGAGATCGGCATCGTGCTGAGGCAGTTGCCCGAGTCTCCGCTGAGGCAGCGCATGATCATGAATGCGGAGAGGCTCAAGGAGTGGCCCAAGTTCAGGGAGGAGATCGTGAATGTTCGACGAGCTCAAGCCGCGGCGGCGGCGGCGCAGAACGGAGTGGCCCCGATGGCCCTTTCGGCGTTCAACAACCAAGGTGGCAAAGGGCGCTGCAGGATTTGCAACGGCAAGGGCCACGACGAGAATAACTGCTGATACCGCAAGGGCGGACCTGGTGCAGGCAAGGGCAAGTCAGACAGCAAGGGCAAGTCGAGGGGCGACTCCAAATCGAAGAGTTCCTCGAAGAGCGGAAAGGCAAAGGACGGCAAGACTGGCAAGGGGCCGAAGTGCTTCAACTGCCAGGAGTACGGGCACATGGCCAAGGACTGCCGGAAGAAGAAGAACAACCTACACATGATGGAGCCGGAACCCGAGAAGGCTCTGCGCGGGCTGTGGCTCGCGCCATTCATGACAGACGAGGAGGACGTGGCGCAGAAGGCCTTCGACCTGCTGATCGAGGGCGGCCTGGTGGACGACAAGCTGGTGCACGAGCTGATCAGGCTCGGTGCGGACACGGCGAGAGCAACCCGCAAGATGGTGCTCGGTATCGATTCGTGTGCAGCTACGACGGTCGTGCCATCTGAGCTGGCGCCGGACTACCCGACGTACGAGAATGACATGAGTGCGAAGGGTGAAGGCTACAGGGCCGCGAACGGCGGCTGGGTGGCCGATGAGGGCACGAAGGAGCTCGTCGGGTCGGTGCGCAACTCGGACGGCTCGGCGCAAGTGGGAGGCATCAAGGCTAGGGTCGCGAAGGTCAGCAAGGCGCTCGCCTCGGTCTCGGAGGTGGTCGACGCTGGCCATCGGGTCGTCTTCGACGCTGGCGGCAGCTACGCGCAGAACAACGCGACAGGAGTGGTTACACCCTTCCAGAGGCGCAACAACGTGTACGAGATGGAGCTGGAGCTGATGCCGCACAGCAAGGCGAAGGGCGTGATCGGCCGCGCGGAGGCCTGGTCCAAGCCCGGTGCGAACAGCAAGAAGAAGAAGGAGATCTGCATGATGGGGAGTGACGACGCAGGCGAAGGAGCTGGATCGGGTCAGGCAGCGGCGCCGGCAGCAGCAGAACCAGTCCAAGAACCTGTTTAACCAGAAGCGGTACCTCCACCACCTGCCCCGGCGGTTGCTCGGGAGCGGCCGGCAGTGAGAGCGGCGCGGAGACCGCATGAGCCTACCTAGCAGGAGCGAGAGGACCATGAAGTGTCGCACGCGCCGTATCGAGCCTGGTGCAGGCACTGTGTTGCAGGACGCGGGCGAGCTGAACCTCATGTGACAAGGAGCCACGCGGAGGATGCGATGCCAGTCGTGGCGTTCGACTACGGCTACCTCGGCAGCGGCGAGGACGCGGCTCCGATCCTGTTCATGAGGGACTCGCTGCACAGGTACACGGGCGCGGAGGTGCTGACCTGCAAGGGGACAGCGCACGCGCACGGCGTCGACATGCTGGTGAAGTTCGTGGTCACCGGCGGCTGCAAGAAGGTGGTCTTCAGGTGCGATACCGAGCCGAGCATCATCGCGCTGAGGGGCGAGGCCATCAAGAGGCTCAAGAAGGACCACGGCGTGGAGTGCTTGCTGGAGACCTCGGCGGTTGGCGAGTCGCAGTCGAACGGCCTAGCTGAAGGAGCTGTCAAGGATATGAAGGGCCTGGCGAGGACCCTCAAACACGCGGTGGAGGAGATGCACGGAATCACGATCGGCCCGAAGCATCCGTGCCTGCCGTGGATGGTGAGGCACGGCGCAGCAGTCCACAATCGAGGTCAGGTGGACTCGGACGGGCGCGCGCCGTACGAGCTGAGGATGGGGCGCGCTTACAAGAGGGCGCTCCCGGCGTTCGGCGAGAAGGTGTTCTACCTGCCAGTCGGCAAGAGGGAGTCGAGGCTGGTGGACAGGTGGCTGGAGGGCGTCTTCTACGGGATCCGCGACGACAGCGACGAGGTGTACGTGGCGACGCCGAAGGGCGTGATGAGAGCCAGGAGCGTCAAGAGGATGCTGCTGACAGCGAGGAGCGACAAGGCGCTTTTCTCAGAGCTGCAGGGTGTGCCGTGGCGACCAGTTCCTGGTCAAGAAGGTGAAGGACTCGAAGTGCCACCTGCCATGGCGAAGGTGGTGGCGGACCAGGTGGTGCCGGACGTGGACCTGCCCGCTGCTCCAGGACCAGTGGGTCCTCCTGCTCCGAGGAGGGTCTACATCAGGAAGGACGTGGAGCTGCGGCGCTACGGCTACACTCCAGGTTGCAGAGGCTGTGCGGCGGCTCGGGACAACCAGCGCGCGATCATGCACAGCGAGGAATGCCGAGCGAGGATCGAGAAAGTGATGGAGGACGACCAGACGTTCGGCGGTGGAGTTCGGATGGCAGAGGCGCGCTTGCGGCGAGGAGTTGGAGAGCGACCTCAGAGAAGTGAAGGCGAATAACATGAAGCCAAGCGAGGACGAGTCGGTGATCGAGGACCAGTCGGTGAACCAGGGGCGTCAAGCTCATCGGGGACTGCGTCGGGAAGTGCTCCGGCGGCGGCGGACGTGGCCATGGGCGACGAGGCGGAAATCGGCGCGTTGCTGGAGCAGCTCGGCCTCGACAGCTTGGACTTGCAGGAAGTGTTCAACCCAGGGGAGTTCGCCAAGGGAGCTCCAAAGTTCAACCTGAAGCCAGGAGTGGCGATGGACCTCAGGACGGGCTGGGACTTCCGGCTCGAGGAGCAGAGGAAGCGAGCGAGAGCGGAGATCGAGGAGGGAGACCCTGCCTTCCTCGTCATTTCTCCTGTATGTACCCCGTTCTCGCAGCTGATGGAGTTGCTGAAGGCGAGCGGCAAGCGTGATGAAGTTAAGTTCCAGAGGCTGCTCGCGGAGTGCAAGGTCTTCCTGGGCTTCTGCATGGAACGGGCGGCCTACCAGCATTCGAGGGGGCCGGGAAGTGGTTCCTGTTCGAGCACCCTTGGACGGCGTCGAGCTGGAAGGAGGAGTGCGTCGAGAGCATCAGGGAGCTGCCCGGCGTCATGGTGGTCAAGTGCAACCAGTGCGTGTTCGGAGCCACGTCGTACTGGCCGGACGGCTCGGAGGGCCTCGTGGCGAAGCCGACGGGCTGGATGACGAACAGCCGCGAGGTGGCGAAGCAGGTGGGGATCGCGTGCGACGGCTCCCACGAGCATGTGCACCTCCTGGAGGGGAGGGCGAAGGCGGCCGAGAAGTACCCCTTGGAGCTGGTGAAGGCAATCCTGAATGGCATCAGGAACGCGCTGAAGATCGGTAAAGGGATCCATGCGTTCGAAGTTGGTCAGACCGCGGAGGAGCCAGAGATTCTGGACCAGGCGACCGTGGAGGAGATGGCGACCTTCTACGACGGGATCAGCGGTGCGGTGCTGGACCCGGTCGGCGTCAAGAAAGCGCGCGTGGGCGAGATGGGCTACATGAGCAGGCTCGGTGTGTTCGTGCGGAGGAAGATTTCCGAGGCGCTGCAAGTGACGGGAACCAAGCCGCTGCCGAGCGGCTGGGTCGACACCAGCAAGGGCGACGAGCAGAAGCCAGAGCTAAGGAGTCGGTTGGTGGCGAAAGAGACGCGGAAGCTGAGCACCTTTGGGCCTGAGGACGCTGCGGCGACCTTCGCGGCGACCCCGCCGCTGGAGGGCCTGAGGATGATTCTGTTTATGGCGATGACAGGGCGGCATGAGGATCCAGTGCTGACCTTCATCGATATCTCAAGAGCGCATCTACAATCGGAGCTGCAGATGCCAGTGTACTTGAAGGCGCCAGCGGAGGATCAATAATGCAAGGACGACCAGTGCTGGCTGCTGCTGAAGGCCATGTATGGACTGAGAGATGCCGGCTCATCATTCGACCTGAAGGCGGAGGACATCATGGTGAGGATCCTGAAGTCGAAGCAGGGCGAGTTCTCGCCTTGCATCTACCAGGTCGGCAAGCTGGTCGTTTGGAGGCGCGGCGACGATTTCGTGGTGCTCGGTGGGCGCAAGGATTCGAAAGCTTTCACGGAGAACCTCGGCGAGCACCTGATCGTGAAGGTACGAGGAGTTCTGGGACCTGACCCGCCGAGCGGCGACATCGATGAGATCGTGGTGCTGAATCGCATCGCGAGGTGGGTAAGGCCGAACGGCAACGACATGGAGAAGATCGAGTACGAGGCGGACCCGAGGCACGTGGAGATCATCCTGGCCCAGCTGGGCCTGCAGGGTGAGGAGTGCAAGCCAGTGGTCACGCCGGGGCTCAAGGGGCAGGAGCTAGATGGAGAGGCACTACAAGGACGAGAGCGGGCCATCTACCGCTCGGTGTGCATGCGGATCCAGTACCTGGCGCAAGAGCGACCTGATTTGCAGTACGCGGCGAAGGAATCGGCTCGAGTGATGCAGGATCCAACGATTGGCGGGTGGCAGGCCATGAAGCGGATCGGGCGGTGCCTCGTCGGTACCCCGAGGCTGGTGGTTGAGTGCCCACGGCAGGCAGATCGGCGAGTTGCTCAAGTCTGCACGGACAGCGATTTTGCGGGCTGCCTGAGAACACGTAAGTCTACTTCATCGTGTACGGTGATGATCGGTAACCATTGGATCAGAAGCAGTTCGACAACCCAAGGTTTCAACGCTCTATCCACTGGAGAAGCGGAGTTCCACGCGCTCGTGAAGGGCGGCAGTATCGGGCTCGGCCTTAAGACTCTCGCGAAGGACATGGGTGTGGACCTCGAGATCGTGCTGAAGTGCGACGCGACGGCGGGCAAGGGCATCGCAGAACGTCGTGGAGTCGGACGAGTTCGACACCTACATGCTCCTCTGCTGCGGCTGCAGAGGGCTGTGCAGCAGAAGAAGCTGCGCGTGAACAAGATCCCAGGTCTCGAGAACATCAGCGATATTGGTACGAAGCACTTGACCCCTGATCCAGAAGTTCCTGGCGGCGATGGGGTTCGTGGCGAGAGCAGGTCGGAGTCGACTGGCCCTGCGGGCGGCGCTGGATGGGTGAGTGGTGATCGAGACATCCCTTTGAGCGCTTGAGCTGGCGGCGGCGTTTGAGCCGCGCGCGTCTGATTCTGAGGAGTGATGTGATGGTGGATCGCCACGCTCCGCTGACTCTGTGCCGGCCGTAAGTGTCGGCGGCCTGCGGAAGGCCGGGAGGGCTGGATAGATTTGCAGCCTCCCGAGAGACATGTTGGAATGGGCCGAAACCGTTTCGGCTCGAGCGTTTTGGAGAAAATATTCATCCAAGTTCGGCTCAACGGCTGACTCGTTCCTAGACGCGCCATCATCTGCCGTCTTGGGCTGTCGAGGCCCTCTTCGGGGCCTTTCGAACCCATCTTCGGGTTGGCCTCTTGAGGTTCTGGCCGCGCGATGGCGCTCTGACGGTGCCCTCGGGGCAACATATAACGGTCAGGAGCTTGATTCCCCGCCCCCCCTTCCCGTGTGTGTGTGTGTGTGTGTGTGCGTGCGTGCGTGCGTGCGTGCGTGCGTGCGTGCGTGCGTGCGTGTGTGTGTGTGTGTGTGTGTGTATTGTGTGTGTTGTGTGTTCTGTGTGTGTGTGTGTGTGTGTGTTTTTGTTTGTTTGTTTGTTTGTTTGTTTGTTTGTTTGTGTGTGTGTGTGTGTGTCTGACCCGTCCCCCTGAGCTGCCCTCGCCCTTTCCCCCACCTTCTGCCGTCCGCCCTCCCGTTTTCCATCGCTCTTGCATTCTGGCACAATTCGCTACAATGGTGCCTCCCGCTTAGTTAGCTCTTCCGCCAGCGCAGTTCGTATGCCTAACCGCCGACGCAAAGTGTGCGTGTTTTTTTTGGTGGGGGGCTGTGGGCGGGCAGTGCCCCTGGTGGATAGCAGAAAGGAGAGACAACGATCGAGAGACCAGGGGCGAAGAACAAAAGGCAACGTGAGTCAAACACGACAGCAGTCCAACAGCAACTCTCCCCGCCCAGCGCCACCAGGGGGGCCGGCCAGATCTTTTCCCCTGGTGGCGACGAGTGGCACTTGTGCCCACCGCAAACAGCAAATTATTGAATCGCTTCGCTCATTCCGCCGGCCCGTACTGTGCCATCGTTGGCGTTTGCGTGCACGTTCGTGGGCCATGCGGCGCTGCTGGTCGGTGCTGCTGCGGTTGTGGGTGAGAGTCCTCATGGATGCTTCTTGGTGTCTCTGCGGAGGGTTCTCGGGGGCTCCTGTGTAGCATTTTTAGGTGGTCTTGGGAGCCTCCTGGGGGCGCCTTGGATAACTCTTGGGGCTCTCTTGGCGCCTCTTCGGGGCCTCCGCCCTCTTGGGGGGGCTGTTGGGTGCCGCCTGGGGCCGTTTGAGAGGTCTTCCGAGGCCTGGGCGGCTCTCGGGGCGATTTTGAGGCGGAATGCTCGAAATGTCCGTAGGGCTTCCCCTCGAGGGGTCTTTTTGAAGCTGTCTTGGGGCTCTCCAGCGCCGTCTTGGGAGAAACTTGGGCCGTCTTGGAGTCTCCGTGGGCCGTTTTGGGGCTCTCTTGGAGGCCGTCTTAGGGCGATCGTCGGGGCTTCTGCGGCCCTGGAAGTTACGAAAGCTCCGTGGTCGTATCTGTCTTCGGGGGAGGGGCGGCGGTCCGTAGTCAGCTGGGCTCGAAAGTCGCTATTCGTTCCCCACCCCCCCACCCTGAACAGCGACCTGGCTTGGCTGTTCCTGGGTGGTCGGCCGTGCACTGTACTCTGTCCGCTTGCAGCGGCCTTCTTGTGCTCGCCCCTAGGCGGGGTCTGCTGCCTCCGGGCCCTTCAGCTGTAGCTGGGGCCTGGGCCTCGCCCACTTCGGTGGTTCCTCCGGAGGACGGGTTGCCCTTGGGGCCCATCGGCTGTAGCTGGGGCCTGGGCCTCGCCCATTTCGGGGTTCCTCCAGAGGGCGGGTTGCCCTCGGTAGCTGGCCGGTCTCCCGGTCTCCTTGGCAGACGTGTTTTGCAGGCATCGGGAGAGCGACCCTCGGGCCAGTCCCCACGTTGGGCCCGAGGCGTCTCCAGTGCAAGTAGCGTGCTAGTTGCTCCCACGAGCCTTACGCAGTTATGTCTCTAGGGGGCTTCTTGGGAGTGGTCTCGCAGGCATCTTCGGGCGTCTTGGAGGCGGGTGAAGCCGTCTGGAGGCTATCTTGGGCATCTTGGAACGACTTCCTCTGACTCTGGGCCCCCTTAAACCGCCTTGGAGGCCTCGTGGGACGCTCGTGAAGGCAGCCGCCAGGAGTTCCGGCATCCGTGACGGGGACCGCCCAGGGACCGCCCGGGATTTGCGTGGTGTATTTTCGTCCGAGGCTGCCACGCGCGCGTGAACTAAAAGTATGCTAAAGCTGTTACCAGAGATTTTAGCACACCCTTAGTCCGTTGGGTCGGCGAATTTTTTGGCTCCAGTGTCGGAGGAGCCAGCCGATCCTACCAGCAGGTTCAGCGGCCCGTCGATTGCGCCATGTCTGCCACTGTCTTGAGCCAGCAGGTTCACGAAACCCCCGACGCTCCCCAAGAACCTGCTGCCGTCCAGTATGCAGCGCCGGCAGCTTTGCCTCAGGCGGTGACCTATGCCACGGTTCCAACGGTGACCTACGCTGCCCCCGCGGCACATACCGTTCAGCAGGCCGCAGCGACAGCGTCGCAGTACGTCGCTCAAACACCAACGGCGCAGTATCTCGTACAAGCACCCACCGTGGCTCCCCTGGTGTACCATGAGACCCAGCTTGATGCATCGCCCCAGACCGAGGTGCAATACGTCATGGCCGATGCGGCACCAGCCACTGCGGCACCCCCGGTGTACATCGATTCCCAGACAGGGGTGCAGTACGTCATGGCCGATGCGGCACCAGCCGTGGCGGCCCCCCGGGTGTATTTCGATCCCCAGACGGGGCAGCAGTACGTCATGGCCGAGACAGCCCCGGCAGCTGTGTATGGCGCGCCGCAGGTGATGACAATGCCCGCTGCAGGGGCCAGCATCGCCGCAGCGCCCGCCCAGCCTGTCACCTACGTCTACGCGGCCGCTCCCCAGCCAGTCGATGCACCCGCCGAGGCCACCTACGTGCAGGCTGCTCCCCAGCAGGTGGTCTACGCCGCGGCGCCGCAGCCCCAGGTGGTGTACCTACAGGACCCCAGGCAGCAGGCCGCCCACCCCGCGCAGCCAGAGCAGCAGGTGACCTACGTCGTCCAGGACCCAGGGCTGCAGCAGTACGTGTTGCAGCAGCCGTCGGTCAGCTACACTTTGCCCATGCAGCCGCACTTCACGTTCTTGCCGCAGCAGCCTGTGACAGCAACATTGGAGACGAACGTTGCGGCGGCCGCGCAGACGACCGCCGCCGAGGGCACTGCGGCCGTGCTGGCAGCGACCTCGACCGCTGCCAAGAAGGCGGGGAAGAAAACCACGACCAAGGTCTCCAAGAAGAAAAAGGGTGGCTGCTGTTGAGGCGGTGGCGCAAGGAAGCGAGGCATCCGCTGAGCCTGCCTCCATCTGTTGCATTCAAATTAGAGGAGCAGGGACCAAGGGTATTGATGGCTTTCGGGGCTGCCTGAAGCTCAGCGGCGGTCGTGGAGACGGCCGCCATGTGCTTTCGGGCCGGCAGGAACCCCACAGCAGTACCTACAGCAAGTGTCTACCAGCTGCTACTCTCCGCTCCTGCCTCCGATCAGTGTGGCCTTTTGCTGGCCGCTGCGAGACAGTGCCTCCTCAACCTCCTCCTCATCATCCCCCGCTCTGCACGATCCGGCACGCAGGGGCTGTGCAGACGGAGATTTCGTCATCATCGCCCGAGTGGTGTCTCTGTCGAGACTCCACTGGGTACCTTTTGCAAGAACCAACAAGACCTCACACGTCCGGCACTCCAACAGCCCCTCTAACAAGCAACAGGGGGCGGCGGATCGAAGACGCCTACGGCGAATCATCGCCGTGCCCTGCTCTTCGGAAGCGCCTATGTGGCCAAAGCGGCCAGAGCTCGGCCAAGCTATCGGATCATGCGTTCCCCCAGCCGTTGTGGGAACGCTTCGGGGATCATGTGGGGGAGACAGAAGAATAAGAGGAGAGATCTCTTCGGGCTTTCCTGGAGGGTCTCGGAGGCCTGTTGGGGGCCTCTCGGGCCGTCTTGGGCTCTCTTGGGGCCATCTTGGGCCATCTTGGGTGTATCTTGGGCCGTCCTGGAGACATCTTGCGGCCAGCTCGGGCTCTCTTGGGGCCATCTTAGGCGTCTTGGAGGCATATTCGAGCGCATTTTCAGCTATCTTGGCCGTCCTGGAGAGGGAAGACCGTCGACCTGGGAAGGTTCCTGGTCCTTCTGGGGCGCGGTGGAGGCCATCCTGGGGCCGTCTGGAGCGAGACGCCCGACGAACTGGGAAGCTTACGGATCCTTCCCGATGGCCGACTCGATCGGCCGAAGGCTAATTGAGGGTTTTTGAGAAGGGCCAAACACTGTATGAGGTTGGCCACGCCGTGCACTCCCGTGGCAAGCACAGGGTGAGGCGGACGACGGAAAGCTCGCACAGCGTGCGATCCGTCAGTCGGGAGAAACGAGACTGGGGGGAGTCTGAGGGGTCAGCTGGCGGAGGCCCAGGGATCTAGTGGCCAAAATGGCGATCTCGCTCTCGGGACGTCCTCGCACAAATGGGATGGCTTGGGATCGCTCTCGGAAGGCCTCAAGCCGGCCCAACATAGCCCAACAATTTAGCTCTCAGACGCCCTACGTCCGTCCAAAGCAGGGCGATTTCGCTAGGGACATCCTCACAGAAAGAAGATGTTTGTCCACATTGCTCTTGCCCGACATGGATATTTCGCTAGGGAAATCATCACAAACATTAGATGTTGTTCACACCGTGTCCGTCTCGGTCTTGCCCAAAACGGCGATTCCGTTAGGGTCATCCTTGAACAAACGGTCAATCTCCTACATTGCATATCCAAACGGATCTGAAAGAACATCTTTCTTGACGGGCCTCAAGTCGGTCAAAGAAGGCCCAAAGACAGTCCGTAGCTATTTTGGCTCAAGATATGTTGGCTCTATTTTTTAGCTTAATCCAAGTCGCCCCAGACGTTGCAATGACTCGCAATACGTTCGCGAATTGTTCTGTGGCCGCGAATGGCTCATAGGGTCGTAGCCCGGTGCAGATATAATTTTTGGCACCGCTTAGTATCAGGGTCCCTTGTATGTTATTTTGAACAGTTGGTTGGACAGGTTTTCCGACTTGCTCCAGAAGGCCACGGAACAAACAAATTAGCAATGCGACTGCGGACGGATTTGACACGTCATTCTGGTACGTTCGGCATATTAATTTGGTGCCCGTGTTCTTGTCAACGATAGTTGGCGTCAGGCGTCGAATGATGATTACCTTCGGAATTGGTCCCAAATCCGCCAAGTCGAAGGGGATAGCCAATGTATTCAAGAAGATATGGCGCGATGTGCTTCAATTGTTGACCGTCTTGGCGCTGATCTCATCAGTTCTTGGCTGACTCTGATTGTACTCCTGCCTATTCTTACGAGCTCTCAAAACGTGTCAACACATTTCCGCTTGTTGATGGATCCACAGCGGATTCGTTTATTTGCCGCCCATTGTTTGGCCAGTATGTGGTACGGAGCTGGTACCACTTGTTGGGACCAAACTTCCAGGGCTCGAGCTCAAACATCAAGTAGTGGAGATAGCCTGCAGGAAGGAAACACGGTTGAGGGGCCATTCAAGTTTTTAGTTCGACCGATGCGGACTTTTGGCTACAGGACAGCAGCAGTTCGGACGAAGGCGCTAGTTTTGTTTTTGTTTGAACTATTGTTGTATCTGTAGTATTGATGTACGTATACATGCTTACCATTTGCATCCCGTTATACATGTCTATACACTTAGCTAGGTTGCGCCTGCAATGTCCGGGACACTGGCAGCAGGCCGCGGCTGTCAACACATGTGGATTCATTGACTAAGGGTGCGCCCGCGATGCCCGATATCCTGGCAGCGGGCCAAGACGCTTGGTGTCAAAGTGGTGAGTTGGCCGCAGGCTCTGGGAGTATGCCTTTCAAATCCAAAGTCTGCCGCCTCTGCCGCCGACCCCAATTCAGCGACGCGTGTTTGATTCGATTTTGTTCGGGATGCCTTCTCGGCTTCGTCAGGATGTGTCCGGGCTAGACATCCAGGCCTGAGCGTCGCTCTCCTGGACGCTTGAGTCTCTTTTGCAACTCGGACTCTATCTACAGAATCATGATCATCGCGATGTAGAGTCATCGTATGTCGGCGCGTCTGGAATCGTGGGAGGTTGCAGTGATTCGGGGTAGCGGTCTGTAGAATGGGCGAGGGGGCAAATATTTTCAGGAGCAGTGATAAGCCCATCCCCGAAGGCAGAGGAGGGGGTTGGACATTGAATCGTGTTTGACCACCTCCGCCCAGAAGGCGGGTGGGACTTTGAGCTCGGAGACCCCAGGCGAGAGGTTGTCTGGGTCGGTTTCGGCGAAGCCATCTTGGCAATGTCGGGTCCCGAGATGCCGCCTGTGAGGTGGTTCGGCCGAGCGCGTTTGGGATATCTTGGCAATTGTGGGCTTCGAGATGTCGCGCGAGAGATGGTTCAGCCCGTTTCGCTTTAGACAGTCTAGCCGCTGTCCTCATGCGGTCCAGCCTTTTTTGCTTGAGACATCCTCGCAATTGCGGGACCCTCATAGGTCCATCCAGTTTCCTTTGACACTTCGTCGTATCCCTGGGCTCGGAGATGATCTGGCCTGATGTCGTCCAGCCATCTTCGCCTGACACAGATTCGCTACCCTGGGTTCATCGATGCCCTTGCTTCATTCCGTTTCCTCGCAATTTTGGGTTCGGATCTGCCCTGGACCATTTCGTTTCGACGGAGATATCCTCGCAACTCTGGGTTCATGTACTTGTGCCCTGCTGTCACGTGGTCCGAGTCCTTTTCGCTTGAGACATCGTCGGAATTGTGGCTTTGGAGATGCCCTGACCTGAGGTGGTACAACCGATTTCGTCTGAGATCTCCTCGCAACCCTGGGCTCAGAGATGTCCTGTCCTCGCTGCCGACCGTGGCCCATTCAACAAATTGGATTTTTTGTTTGATGAGCAACTGGGGCAACTGGAATCCTTCTCGTTGCCAGTGAAAGGTATGACAATAAGGGACAATTCTCAAACGGCCAATGTTAGATTTGCATTTGTAGAGTTGAGTTGCCCCTCCTCTGCCGAGGGGTGCGTGGGGGGATATAATCTCATACGCCTGTCGCCCCGAGGGTTGGGTTTTCCTTGCCTCAGATGTTGTGTGACCCTTTGTTGGAGCGGGGGGCCCGACGTTGTCCCATCAGTCAGACTGCTTCTCATGCTGCCTCGCCTTGCCTCTGCGCTGAAAAGATGTGAGATCACTTAGCCTTCAAGGTCGTCGGATTCAGAAGGCACGAGGCGTTGCATCAAGTTTCTGAGAGGGGACAGTAATACGCCAGCGCCAAGCTTGGCCAGGCTTTCCATCGGCTTTTTCCATGGGCCCCTGAGAGACCTGGCCAAGTTTGACGAGCCGATTCCTGGCCGATCTGACTGTTGGATTACAGTTTCGATCCGATCCGACGCGAGCGATTCAGAACAGTGCCGATCCAAGTCACTGGTCCCTTCCGCCACCTCCTGTCTTGGCGTCATCGGCTGCTAGGCTTGCACCAGGTCTGAACCCACCCTCAACGTTTGCTGCTACGGCTGCGCCGGCTACCCACAACGCTTCTTCGGGATCTCTCCCATCGATTTTCACCGAGCAGGAGCTGGCAGACATTTTAGAAGACCACCTGTTGCTCCACGCCGACAACGTTGCTGCCATGAATGCGATCGCGCTCGACGAACCAGCTCTTCGTCCTGGACGGCGGTTGCATACTATCGAAGTTCTTCGGCAGGGCCTGCTTACCATGGGATTTTCCTTGGCTAGCCCGCTACCGTGGGAGCGCTTGGGCATCTTCTGGGAGGAGGGCCCCATCCCGGATGAGGCGCTCATTGATGCGCAGGTTCGCCTCGCCACCTCTCTACTGAAAGTCCCGGGGAACCGCCCAGGAAATGAGACATTACGTGAGTCAGGAGGCCGCAAAGATGCGGGAAAATGGAGTCCAATGCCGTGCGTTGCTTCCGTCACTGACCAAGGTGCGACGCCGGAGGGCTAACAATTTTGCATTCCGTCACCGCGAGTTACAGCTGCCCTTCTTGCAGGGCCTGGCCTCGCACTTCGATGACACCCTGACCATCCTCCTGGCGGTGCAGTGCTCTGACCTGCAGGCCTCGTCGTCATCATGGCCACCGTGTGTCCTGTCTACAGAAAGGGCTCGCGCACTTCACGAGATAACTGCCAAGGACGCCCAAGCAGAAGCAGCACATCTTGCAACAACTAGGGGGAAACACTGGGTGGGCTGGGTTCCAGAATCCAATGTGGCGCTCGGCAGGATGATGGCCTCGATGAAGCTCGCACGACGTGCT